CTCAGAGAGGCTGTGCCCGGGTACCCGACTCTCAGCGAAAGCTCCGATCGGGCGTGAAAAGATGGTACCCAGGTCATCCAAACCCTTCTTTCCCTGAGGCTCCGGAAGAACCAATGAGGTCTTCGGCTGCCTGCTTCCCGACGACCCAATCCTTGAAGTCCAGGACTCATAGGGTTGCGGCTTCGAGTTTAAGCTCTAGTGGCGTTTTTCGCCGCTCAGACTCACGCAAGGCAAGGCTCCACATGGTCCTCAAGCTGTATGTAAGCACGAGTTGGGGCCAAGTTCCCCCCAACGATGTTACACCTAAAAGGAGTAGCTAGATAGAGACTCACAAAAACACTGCTCCGATTTGCTATCACACAGGGCAGGGACAAGCCCCTGTCTGTTTCAAAAGTAGTTTCACCACCGCTGAGCATATACATCAAGTAAGCAACAATACCCAACAGGGGCCTTTTAGGGCTTCCGGCTTAGGCTTTAGGAGCCTTTAGGGTCCGGAGCTTTGTCGTGTGGGGCTTTCGGACGTTGCGCAGTGGCGTAGCCAGCCCGGGTCTGAGGTTTGAGGATTGCTCCACCAAGCAAAACTTGACCGTGTCAAGTGCCGGGGAAAGCTGAGCACGACATGTCAAGCCTACAGCACTGCCCAAACCCTGGTTACTAGTAGGAAGTCGCTCTCAGATGTTCGGATAAGGTCAAGTGCCGTACTCCTAATCCTGCAACGGAAAAATCCCAAAGTGCCAGAGGAACCCGTGAGCCCGCGCCTCCATGCTTCGTCAAGCTGTCAGGGATCCATTAATCGGACGTTTGAACTTTGAGAAGTGTCCCTCCCCCAACCCACCAGGCAAAAGCAGGTCTCTAGGATGTAGGGCAGTACCACCATCGGAAGGTTCGCACCAAAGCCTTCCACCATGTCGCTGAAGACGAGGATGGAGTACCTCGAGACTGAAAGAGGGCTTGCGAATATAACGTTTCCCCAGCCACGAAAGAAAACTGAACAATCCGGAAACACACAAGAACTAGGAGTATGTGATGCGTTGGGGACTCGGCGACACTGACTGATGGCTAATTAATAAGGTTGGTGAACACAGAAATAACAGGCATGCTGCCGACGGAACCGGGTAGAACAAGCCGCACAGGCGGAAGTTGTACAATCAAGAACTTATGAATTGCACCATGAAGTCAACGCATCTGATACTCCACACCCTTGACCCGAGATGCTAATCTCCATGGTACAGTCAATCCCCAATCATACATGCACGAAATGAGCCGGCACCCTCAACACTCAAGCGCACAACCTCAGCCCGCATGCGCGTCCGCATCTGTCTGACTGCCTACTTGCCTGGCTGTCTGGATGTGTGTTAGTAATATCTGTATACACAAGATAATGCTATGTACATACACGTATATGGATGTATACACACATGAAGCTATTAAAGTTACACTCATACACATAAAGTAGCTACTAGGACACGATGCGTAGACTGCCTCAATGCAGCTGAAGCTCGGATAGTTCTTGAAGCACGAGACAATCGACGCAACCAGGCTAGAAGGCTCCTTCGAGGGCTGTGCGAGTCAGTGTGGGATCAGTTTGGGATTGGCAGTCGACCCTTTTGGTTAAAAACAGTGGCCTGTGGACAATAGGTGGGGCCCTTATGTCAGGGCGTCGCGATTATACTCCAGCTGTCTAGGTGCGGGACATCTTGGAATGTGCTAGATCTGCAGGTAATTCCAAAAGGCCCAAGCCCACATGGAAACTTGCCCGGGTTGAAGGGCTTTGGGGCGGTCAGGAAGTAGTTCGTGGAAAACTGGCTTCTTCTTTGCTGTTAGGCCGAACATTGTGGTGAAATCAAGATGTCCTTTAATAGCTCTAGATCTTTAATGAGAGGTTAGGAGAAAACCAAGAAAGCAGCAGAAGACTGGCGAAGAATCATATTATCAACAGGTACGTGCGGAATCGACCCAGTGCTTTTCTACTTCCAACAGTGAATAATAGTCCCCTGTTGAGCCTTCTCCAAGGTCTTGGACGCACGCTCCTGATTCGACCGAAAACTCGCAGCTGGGGTCTGTGCGAGTCCGTGCACATAGGAGCTACCGTCAAACTCTCTCAAAGTCCCCGCCCGTTAGGCACGCAGCACATTCGCAAGCCAAAAGCAAAGCCGCCGACTTCCACTTCCCATCACAAGCCGTCGCACATGATGCCGCGCACGGCTGCGAGGCAACTTCGGAGCAGCTCTCCCAGGGCCCTGCCTTGACCAGCCAGCACTTGAGAAGAGTGGACCTTGGGTGTGGATGGATGAAGTTTTCGGGCATAATTAGGATCCTCTTCTCTGTTGATGAAACAGATGAAATCCGGCAGTTTGCGGATTGCTTTGTGGGAGGGTCTCTGGGGCTGGGGTTCATGTTGTAAAAGCCTCGGAGTCGGAAAAAACACAAGCCCGGGTGCGCAGTGAACAGCACGCCCACCAAGACGGCGAATTGGAGATAAAAGTAACCTGAGCGGTTGCTGCATGCAGCGTTGCTGCGACGGTTCCTGGGAAATGTCACACTCTTCTGGTTCGTCAGCAGAACAGGTCCCGACAAGTGGTTTACACTACGGAGCCCGTGCTATGAGATGATGCCGTCACTGCTTGCAGCACACCACGCGTCCCTTCTCACCTGCCCCAAAATGCCCCTCAACGTTCGAGCACCAGATTGCAGCCAGCGGCAGCCCGTTTCCGGTGTGGAAGCACATTCCGATTCCCCGAGGATGGGGGTCACCTGTTCTCGATTCTCGGTGCTAACGCTGTTCTAAGCCACCGGGATTGAGATGTAGGCCGGTCCTCACAAACCCGAATGACAAACTTCGCCGTCCCTCGCGTATTGCTTGAATGGTCCGGCCCGTTGAATCCGCAATGAAATCTGACGGTCTCAGTGCTTGCGGTTTTGGGTTGTACGAGAAGCACTTGCATCAGTTTGAGGCTTGAGGCAGATCAAAGGAAGCCGAACAAATGTGCGAAGGACCCTCTTAGCCGAAGATGCACTGGGCGGAGAGAGATGGGGAATGTTGATCCAGCTGCAGCTCCTTCCGCTGAAAAGTTTAAGACTAAAAGACATCTTCTAACGTCTGGGAAAGACCGCCTTAAGCTTGTGCACCTCGATGTTGGAGTTACGTCTTCATGGATTCATGAATCTTATCTTATACGGCCATCCCTGTACCTTCCAGCCACAAAAACCGCCAACCCAAGGCACCCGAAAGTCTTCATGCCTGCAAACCCGCTCTGCAAGCCTCACTGCCAGACTATATACCTCCTCAGAGCGACAACACCCGGTGGTCCAGAAGCATCCGGGGCCGGCACCATTCCAAAAAGCATGCCCAACACGGACCAAAGCTCAAAGAATGACCAAACGGAAGTCTTCTCCTGCTGAGTTACGGATCCATGGAAGGATTGCCAGCTCCAGGCTACGGCGAGATGCGAATGGATTTGGCTGAAATGATTTTGCTTGCAGACTAGAAGGCAAGAAGCTTTAGAAAGGCTCGCTTCGTCGCAAGGTACTCGGGCACATTGTTTTCTGAAGTATTAGAAATTGACCTAAGACGCTGCTCAGAACCGTCAACCACTGAAACGGTCAAATGCAAGGACGCCCCGAAAAGGCGTGAAGGCTTAAATCCTCAACCCCCAAATGCCCTGATCCATTTGACGATTCAACAAGCCCTAACCTATCGTTGAAATGAAGCAACTCAAACTGCACTACTGCGGGCTGGAGGTTCAGGCTTGTGGCAACAGGCACCCCTCCAACACGTAAGCCCAAACCGCCAATGCCACGTTCGCCCGCGACCTGAAATAGTGTAGATGCAGATGGCAATACCAACTGCCTACGAAAGGCGAAAAGTCCAAACACTCAACACCAACCAGAAAGGAATCAACCTTCAACCCCAAGTCACTAAGTCCCCAGCCCTCACCCCTCACTACCAATTCCTAAAGGCAAAAGCAGGGCTACGTCTCGCCTGATAGTCGGGAGTCAGCTCCTGGGCTTCGGAAAGCTTTGGGCGGCTTCGTTGCTGTGGTGGCAAGGCGCACGGATTTTTGAGCTTAACGCGTTTTGGGGGTGGCCGGTGAACTTTATAGGGCGGGTAGGACATGTAACGAATTGTTCACGGGGATTGTTGAGAACCAGGATGTTGCAGTTTCTCGGAGGGCCAGGGCCTTCGGATGTACATTTCAGGCCAGATCGACTTGTAAAGGCTTCCCCGGACCTCACAGCAGGAAGGCAGAGGCAACACAACCACAACTTGATCCCAGAGCCCAAAAGCCCGAGACATAACATATTACAAGAATCTTCTGTTCCTTGGTCCATGAATACCACCCCAGATCGGAAACGGTGCCCTGGCCCTCCCAAGTCCAACATCCCAACACCCTAACCTAAAATCGCCACCGCTCAAAGCAAGCCAAACGAAAGCTCTGAACCAAGAAGCACAAACAGCAAAGGACATAACAACACTCAAAAAAACAAAAAAAACATACGACTAGGCTCTGCTACCAGTGCATTGTTCGCTGTGTCATGGAGTGGGTCTCCCACGACTCTGACCAAGATGTGGAAGACCTAGGCCAGCAGCTTCAGAAGCCATCACATCTAAGCCCCTAAACCCTCATGAAGACACCTAGAACCCGCTCTGAAATGTCATCCACAACCCCGAACTCTGACGATTCAGGGCTTGAGGGTTTGAGGGCTTTTGTGGTTGGTGGCTAGGGATTCCAAATTCACTCCAACTCCTCAAGTACTGAGATGGCAAAACACCTACTGCTGCTGCAGTTTGGTCATCGTCAGAATGTGGCGGGAAGTCTATGCAGCATCCCTTCTGTGCAAAGGGTCATGAGCCGGCTGAGTCAGAGAATGTGCTGACGGGGCAGAACCCCCACCCCCCCCTCCAAGAGCTCTGGCAATTGTTAAAACTGGACCGCTTCGGCTCCGGGGGGTCCGAGGTCCCACGGGTCAAGCCGCAGCTTCTCAGACTTCGGATCAGTTCAGATAAGCAGCTCCAGCTTGAAACCTGACCCACACCCTAAGCATCCCTAAGCCCCATCTCCTCAACACCGACTCAAACCCTTCGTAGTCCTACACCCCCAACCCCACAAGGCTCTTTGGGGTTTTTGTCGACAATGCCAAAGAACCCACCGAAGCGACAGTTCCTGCAAAGATGCTCCGTACCAAACCGCTGCCCCGAAGGAGCTGAACGTCGGCGGAGCGAGATTCCTGGCTCGGGGCTTGCTTTGGCTTACTAAGGGGAAAAAGGAATCTACGGGCTGATGTAAGCATTTTTGTTAGGGGGCTTCGGGTTTCTTAGATCAGTTAGTTCAGTCGCTTTATACTTACAGTAACGTTTTCAGTTTAGGACTTTGGGAGTTGAGGGTCTACGAGTTCGTACTTTGGATTTGGGTAGTTTCATGTTTTTGAGTTTAGGGGCGTTCCACGAGTTCAAGGTTCAGGGCTTTGGCTTGAAGGTATAACTTGAAGAATCCAGGTTGAGACATGTGGAACTCAGGGCTTAAGGATTTGCAGCGCTTTGCCTCCAGGGCTCAGGGCAGCGCAAAAGTAGAGTTTTCAGACGAGCATAAACGGTGGTAGCACCTGACGCTCCCAAATACCTCTCCGGAGCAGCAGCGAGTGAGTACATGGTTTCTGGCTTCGCCGGATTCAAAGACGGAGTAGTCTGCAAGCAAGTCCAGAACTTTACCTAGAGTATCCTGGCACTAACAACTGTGGACCCTGCTCCCCTGTCTGGGTCATACTGCCAGGCAACCCTCATGAACACTCGCAAAACCGACCCTCTTGCGGCACAGGTACTGATTGCTGCTGAGCGCATACCACGACTCAGACTCCTGCTGTGCCTCGAAAGAGAGCGCCTTGGTTACTGGCGCGGGTTTACATCGGAAACTTGAACAAAAATCCAGCAGGTCGGGGCTTGAGGCTTAGAGTTTAGGAGTTGTTAGGGTTTACGCTCTCTACAACTCAGACTATGGGTCTAAGGCTTAGGATTTCAGGATGCACCCAAACTGTTGGAGGTTTCAAGCGACGACGGTAACAACATGTAATAACAAGTATAGGTCTGTTTTGGGGAGGAATTTGTTGGCCGGCGCAGCCCTCAGCTCGCTCCGAAAATGGTTGTGCCGCCAATCTTCAAGTGGTAGCCATTGTCCGTGTTGGATGTGACCGGCTTTGCCCTAGAAGTCTTTTAGTTTTACGCATGCGAGTATGTATGCATGTGTGTGTGTGTGCATATGTAAGTGTGTACGTAAGACGTACATGTACATTTTTGTCACTCATGTATACTTATACACTATATACATATACATATGTATATAAATATATATATATATATATATATATATATATATACATGCACGTGTATGCATGTGCAAGTTCTTCCTTCCGTTCGTCTGGAGACTTGTTTGTTTCATGTGTTTTGTGTTCATGTTGAGACGCATGTACTCCACAAAGCATAACCGAACTCACGTCAGGAACCGATGTTTGTGTATAAATATGTATGTATGTATGTATGTATGTATATATACACACACGTATGGATATGCATACACTCCCTATGTTTTTGGAGGGAAAGAGACGACAAAGGCATACATCCACGCGTATGTATGTGAAAATACATAAACTGATACATACATATATATATATATATATATATACATATATATATATATATATATATACATATATATATATATATATGTATATATATATATGTGTGTGTGTGTGCATGCAAATACATGTATATATATATATATATATATATATATATATATTTGTCACTCGTGCTCGACAAGTCAGACGAGGGTTGAACAATATATATATATATATATATATATATATATATACATATATTACATATATATATACACATATTACAGTGCATATTTGTATATATGCGTGTATACAGTATACCTTTACATCCACATTATGTATAGGTATGTATGTATGCATGGACGTCTGTCTGTCTGTATGTATAATGTAGAAAAAATGGATTCCGCATGTACCTGTATGGGACGGAACATGTATCAACGGTTGAAGTTTGTATATATAGCTATATACGCCGCGTCTGCTTTAAAGTAGAGACTGGGGGAGTCATCAGTCACAGAATCACACAAGCAATTGGGTTCAGGCTGCTCAGTTGTGAAAGGCCTTATCTTTGAGGGTCTGCAGTAAATTACCGATACACACCTTTTGCCCGTGCTTGCCTGAGCACGGGCTCCATGCCACTCAACGCTTCCTCTGGCTCTGAGATCGAAATCAAATTCAGCCACTGTGTGGGGATTTGGCCTAGGGGTTGCGGATGTTGTCAAATAAACCCTGAACAACCGTTGACCTAAAACAATTATGCGGCAAACAGTGTCAACCTAAGGTTGTCGAAGTGTGACGGAAGGGGCCCCCTTCTAGCAAGCAAACGCAATGGTGGCTGTGCTGAGTAGCAACAGATTGTTTGCCGTTTAGGGCCCTGGCGATGTGACTACAATCACTCCGCCCGATGTCAGGATCCAGAGTGTCAAGCGAATCCCACCGAACTCTGACATGCTGACCTTTTCGCGGTTTAATCGCCCCTCCAAGCTAGACATTAGACCGCTACCCTGCGCCGAGCCACGGTTGGTGGTGCCCACGACAAGGCGTTGAAGACCGGCACCAGGAGCGCAGCCAGAAAAAGAAAGGGTTCTGGCCGGCATTTCGAGCTGTAACGAGCTGTAAACGATTATAAACGGTTCAGTGTCTTGTTGCTGTGAATACAAGCAGGGAAAACAATTACTGCTTTCGTGAGTCTTAGCAATAGCAGCAGCAGCAGCAGCGGCAGCAGGAGCCGTAGCAGCAGCAGTAAGCAGCAGCAGCAGCAGCAGCAGTAGAGCTGGAGGTAGAGCTACAGGAAGCGGTAGATGTGGTTGTAGCAGCAGCAGCGTCAGTGGCCGTAGCCGTAGCAGTAGCGGCAGAGATAGAAGAAGCGGCACAGTAGCTGTCGTTGTAGCAGCAGCAGTGGCAGTAACAGTACCAGCCGCAGAGCAGCAGCAGCAGTAGCAGGAGTAGTAGTAGTAGCAGCAGCAGTAGTAAGTAGTAGGAGGAGTAGTAGGAGTAGGAGCAGGAGTAGGAGCAGCAGGAGCAGCAGGAGCAGCAGGAGTAGCAGGAGTAGGAGTAGTAGGAGCAGGAGTAGGAGTAGGAGTAGGAGTAGGAGTAGGAGTAGGAGTAGGAGTAGGAGTAGGAGTAGGAGTAGGAGTAGGAGTAGGAGTAGGAGTAGGAGTAGGAGTAGGAGTAGGAGCAGGAGTAGGAGTAGGAGCAGGAGTAGGAGGAGGAGCAGGAGGAGGAGGAGGAGGAGTAGGTGTAGGAGTAGTAGGAGGCATAGTAGTAGTAGGAGGCGTAGTAGTAGTAGTAGTAGTAGTAGTAGTAGTAGTAGTAGTAGTAGTAGTAGTAGTAGTACTAGCACTAGTACTAGTCGTAGGAGTAGTAGGAGTAGTAGGAGTAGTAGGAGTAGTAGGAGTGGTAGGAGAAGTAGGAGTAGTAGGACTCGTAGGAGTAGTAGGAGTAGTAGTAGTAGCAGTAGTAGAAGTAAGTAGTATGTAGCAAGTAGTCAGTAGTAAGTAGTAGGTAGTAATAGTAGTAGTGGTAGTAGTAGTCGTAGTAGTAGTTGTTGTTGTAGTTGTAGTAGTAGCAGCAACAGCAAACTAGTAGTAGAGTAGTAGAGTAGTAGAGTAGTAGAGTAGTATAGATTAGATTAGAAGCAGTACTAGTCGAAGTAGTAGTAGTAGTAGTAGTAGTTGTTGTTGTTGTGGCAGCAGCAGCAGTACTTGTAGTAGTGGTGGCAACCATTATACTAGCAGACCGACGACGACGACGACTGCTACTACTACTACGACAACTACGACAACAACAACAACTACTACAACTACGACGACTACTAGTACCACGAAGACCACGAAGACCACGACGCTAGCCCACTATATACTCCAGCCCCGACCCCCCTTCCAATGCACTCTGTCGTGTACCGGGGCCCTCACTCCGTCGGCCCCAGTCACGGCCAAAGAGGGTACGGGTATTGTCCTGGCTGGATTGCTGTCGTGCCTCTAGGCATGGTCAGAGCCTGAACCATACCAAGGACGCCGTCTTAAGCAGGAAAACAGATTGTACGTGATGGCGATAACAACCACCACAAAAAAAAAAAAAAACGCACTCGCTCAACAGATATGGGCACTTTTGGCGGGAAAGTTCCGGTACTCTAGCACTACTACTTGAAGAGTTCAACCAACAGGTACAAGAACCAGGAGAACAACATGTCCACCCTGGGATGAATTAAACGTAAAGTTAAGAACTCTACGAAGAATTAAGGCTGAGTCTCCTCGAAACCTTGAACCCTGGGGCCTTAGACAATAAAACCGCCGCAAAACCTGAAGCCGGAGCCACACGGGCACATACACATATACAACTACATGTAATTACATGTATAAACAGATGGACGAGCAGATAGGTAGATAGGTAAACAGTCAGATGAACTGGTGATAGACCGACTGACTGACAGACAGAGAGATAGATAGATAAATAGACTAGATAGAGATATCATTATCGATATAGACGAACCGTCTAGATATACATATTTGGGCGTGCGCCCACCCAGTTTTGGCAAACCTCTAAAAAGCCTGCGTTGTTGAATGTGGTATTGGGCCGCAGTCAGAAGAAATAACATTTCCCTCCAAGCAGAGAGATAAACTAAACTCATTCAAGCTTTGTCTTGGTGGGATTCTTGCCTCCACTGCTCTGGTAGTTCAGAATATTTTACGGCGTCCGTGCGGTGCCACAAACCAACGGTCGCTTGCTTTGGGGCACCCTAAACTACAAGCCCTTCCCGCAGTGGCCACAGTGCAGCCTAATTTGCCGGAGCTGCCGAGAGCCACGCCAGCAACGGCTCCACAAAGAGGCTCAGCAGGGTGCTGAAGACGAGGGCTGCCGACCTGAAGTGGGCAAGTAAGCAGTCCCAGCACAATCAAGAGTGCGAACAGCTCTCTCGCTCGCTCTCTCTCTCTCTCTCTCTCTCTCTCTCTCTCTCTCTCTCTCTCTCTCTCTCTCTCTCTCTCTCTCTCTCTCTCTCTCTCTCTCTCTCTCTCTCTGTCTGTACATACATACATCTAAGGAAGTATGTGTTTTTCCGCACGCAAACACACACATCTACATATACATACACATGTATGTATACATATATATGTACACACGTATCTATACATATGTATATGCATGCATATGCATGTGAATATGCATGTGCATAAACATATGTTCATCATAACCATATACATTTATACGTAAGAAAACATATACATATGACAGAGGTCATATGAAAACTTGAACTCCGCTGAGTGGGGAATCGCACATCGCTTCATGGCTTTTGAGGCATGAGGACGATAGTTTCCAACCATATGGCAGTTGCCTCTTATAAAGTGTTGTAATAGTCCCGGTGCATCCAAGCCACATAACACTCAGAGAAGCCCTCGGGTAGTCGTCTGTGTAGAAGATCTTCATGTAGCCCGTCTTGAAGTATCTGGCGGCAGAAGATGTCGGCCCATCACCGTTACACACGAAAACCAACCTGCAGCCGCTAAGTTTCCTTTCGGGATCACATCGGATACAGAATGTAGACAGGCATCCAACTCAGGATCGTAATACCTTAAAAACTGCGAAATCTGAACACCAGCGCAGGGCACAATGGACGTCCTGCCACAAACTGATGGTCGTCAAGCTCTGGCATACACTGCAAATCCCCGCAATCACGTATTGTTGTCAAGATGCCGGAATGCGAAGATTCCAAAGGTGGAAGCAGTGGCCATCGTCTTTGTCCAACAGCTAAGCTCCCCAAAGTACTCCTGGCGTTGGATTGCGAGCTTCGCTTTCACATGCTTTGCGTAAGTGTTTTTGACACGCACTTGGACAAGCCAGGCCTCGACTGTACCGACGGTCTGACAGTTGAACCACCCAGAAGGTGCTGTTGTGGGCCAAGACTGTTGGTGCATACTAACAGCAAGTCGGCACTCCGAGTTGACAGCGCGAAGCCGCCAAAGTAAACACGCCTGTACAACGCACGTGGCACTCACTCTTAACACTGTGGGATGCTTGCAGTCACTGGGCAAACGGCGAGAGTAAACCCCGGCTATTTCGAGGGTGAAGGGCGTTATCAAAAGTTTCGTGACCATGCATTCACACAAGAGCCAGCACACATAGTGTGCTGCAATGAACGCCTTATTGGGTGCAAGCATGCACAAGCTGTACAAACGCACAGAAGCAACTCAGAAGTAGCTATCGGCGACTGCGGCTCACTCCTAACCCTGCAGACCAGGCCCACGCAGATACATCCACTTCATAGGGCGCATCCACCCCTCGTCATCATTGACATCACCCTGACGCACCACGTCCAAGGCGCAGCCCTCCAATGTTCAGGGTCGAACCATGTAACCAGCATGTAACACTTTCATATGAGACTTCAAGATCCTGCATTCCAGCCTGACCTGCGCAACTTGCGACAAATTCTGCACCACGAAGTCGAGCCCATGACCCGTGTCGCAACGAGGAAACAGGGCCATGCGCGGCATCTTGGTGCTGTGTAGGTTGCTGTGATGTACGTGAAGTGTTGTGGCTGTGGTGTAGGTGCTGTGCGACACGGTGCTACAGCGAGAGCGTTTCGACATGCACGACCCCTGTAGATGGTTCATCGGCGACGTGTATATTCGCACGGCGCCACAGCGCGAGCACTTCGACCCGCACGATC